GGGGAACAAAGTTAATAAGCCCCCTTCTCCTCTCCCCTAATTATTCTTCACTAATAAATGATAGACTGTACAATCAATCTCGACCGTAAAACTTCGTGTGGGCTGAGACAGAATGGTTCATTTACCAACTCTGGAAGTTCCCGGTGGATTTGGTTCTGATCCTAGGGTGCATGACCTCCAACCTTCTTGTGCTTGAGCTTTTCCACTTTGTACTCTAGTTCTTTACAGAGAACTCATACCATCATCTTTTCTAAATTAAAAAAGCCCCCCCTCTCTATTAAGCCCTCTCTCAAATGGGCTTGAAATTCCTTAGATCCTCATGGCCCCTTAGTTCCATCAACTCAATGAAAATTTTTTCATTCGATTGTTGGCGGCTCACTCATGTTTTTTCTTTTTTTTGGCAAAAAGCAAAAACACGCAATTTAAATAACGTCAGAGATGTTTTTATTGAGAATTATTATTCATTCAAAATATTTCCTCGATTCTGATTGGCTAAAAGCACACGTTTAATTCATCATAACCGATTACTGACGACTAAATTTCGAAGAATTTTGTGTTTAGCGAGGAAATGACGTCAAAAATGCAGCGTTCTTACAGGTTAATGCACAGTCAACCGAGAAGACCTGGGAAAAATGGCGGACATTTCACTCGTTTCAAGGGTAAGAACTAGGCGAAAAAATAGCTAAAAACATGGCAAGAAAAGCAAGAAGACAACTCGAAGGGCGACATCTGCTATTTGGAGAATATTTGCGGAGCTGAACAACCCTAAACATGCACTATCGAGGATGAACTTAACGTCCATGGAGGTAAGCGTGTTTTAGTCATGTTTTTAAACTAGGAATTATTTTGAATGAATAATAAAAAACAATCATTGAATTCGGCTTTCGTATCATATGAAGAATTATGGAGATCTCGGAGGGTGTAATCCGCCTCGACCTACGGCCTCGACGGATAACACCCTCCTCGATGTCCATAATTCTTCATCAGATACTCAGTCTCATTCATTAATTGTTAATTAAACTTTCTCCTTGAATCTATTACCGCCCCGGACGAATCTTCAATATTTTCCTTTCATTTTGCAATATTGTACCACATGCAACAACCATACTACGCTTGGGCTGCCTATCAGATCAGCTGGCCTTCCCTTTTTCTTGCGCGCGCGCCCGCGCGTGTGGGAGTTATGGCGGTGAAGCTGCGAGGGAATTTCAAAACGTCTCATCTTCGTTCCTAAGGTGAGCGGCTTTGCAGCTCCTCTGCCAAAACTCTGTACGCGCTTATGATCCCGCTGACTACGCACGCTGCAGATTGTGAAGAAACGAAAACAACTAGCATGTGACAGCTTAATAATTTGTTTTTATTTTTACGTGAGAGATCGAGGAATCTAAAAACAGTCTTAAAAATATAAATCTAGCACCCTATGACCCAGGCGTTTTGCAAGAACATTCCTGGGTAAAGGGCTCAGTCCTGATTAGATCCCAGGTGCCTTACTGCTAATACGGTTCTTGTTATGCTTCTACTTTTACTTCCTATTCAAACGTTTTAAGATTACTTTCTCGATATGATCATTACTGGTTAACTGTTTATACTCGTTTGGTGTGAAATTGTCTGATTACTGGGGAAGCTCCTTCTCCATATTTAATCACCACTAGCTTCAGGTGGTACGTTGTAATACGGACGATCTTCATCGTGTTTGTTTAGATGCAAGTATGGTGCATCCCTTTCCATTATCACCTCCAGTTTTTCGATCAGTTGATAGAAACTGGGACGAGAGCGAGGTTCCTCTTTCCAGCAGTCAGCCATCAGCTCATATCTGTTATGGACAAAAAAAAAGCCAACTGGAGTTAGTCAGAGTTCCAATCCATTATTACACGTATAGACACCGTTTTTCCGATTTAGTGGAAGAGGTTTCCTTCAGACCAGCTGGGAGCCACTCACGCCGGATCATTAGGCTTGTCGGTTTCTTGCCAAGCCTGCGAGCAAGCTCTCCATTTGGGGGATCTCTTCAAGTACACGCACGTGCGACACGCGGAGGAAAAACGACAGCGAGGGGCCCCCCGCTCGCGCGTACTCGCGCGGTTCGTTTTCCTCGCCCAAATGGAGAGCTTGCTCGCAGGCTAATTGTTGCTCTGTCGATCTCTGTTAAATAACACTATCATATCACTGTATGAAACAAATATTTAAGCTAAGATTTTGCCGTCTGTCTGTTCAGTAATCGCTTTGATCGAAGAAAACGTCAAAATCGAAACAGACTTGTCCTCTGCAACTTTCAAGGCTATTTATAACTAAAAAGACGCACGGAAAAATCGAATCTTTTTGTCAGTTCTAAGACGATTCTGATCAAGAAACGTACACATCATCGGAGCACATGTCAAGTCAAGTCAAGTCAAGTCAATCTTTATTTAAACACGGTAAAATCCATCAGGAATTTAAAAATTAAAAATAACCTAACTATCCTAAACAAAATTCAAAACCTGACTACAACTAATCTAACTAAAACCTGTTTTTCATGAATGCCGTGTATAACATTAAAAATGAACATTAACTAATCTTTTAAATTGACTAAGAGATTCGGCTTCTCTCACATGACAGGGTAGGCTGTTCCAGAGAACTGCTCCGCTATAAGTAAAGCTGTTTTTCATGAAATTAGTTCGCGGAAATGGGACAAATAGTTTGTTAACAGAGTCCCTCAGGGAGTAACGCGTTTCATTTCGTTTAACAAACTTAGATGATAAATATTCAGGAACAAGGCCATTTAAAGACTTGTATACCATTATGGATTTCTGTATTTGAAATTGAGTGTTCAAGTCTTTCCAATCGAGTTGTCTAATCAAACGGTTAGCATCAGCATCATAGCTAGAGAAGGTTAAAACGCGAGCGGCACGGTTCTGAAGCTTCTGTAGCCTGTCAAATAATGTTTTACCACAATTACCCCAGACAAGATTGCAATAATCGAATTGAGATTGAATTAGTGAGTTGTATATATAGTGAAGGGTAGGTGGAGGGACAAAAGGTCTAATTCTTTTTATTGCTCCAATTCCGGAAGCGACCTTTTTAGATAATTTATCAATGTGTGTTTGCCACCGTAGATTTTCATCAATAAATATTCCAAGCGATTTGACAGAGGAAACGTGTTCTATCGGAACATTATTAATCGAGAGCTCAAGTGGGTTCGACAAAGTACTCAATTTTTGTCTGGAGCCAATTAGCATGAATTCAGTTTTAGAAGTGTTCAAAGTAAGTTTATTAGAAATAAGCCATTTGTTTAGGTTATCTAAATCGTGACTCAGAGTTAACTGTATTGAATTCACATCAACGCCAGCATAAGTAATGTGGGTGTCATCGGCATACATTCTAGGCTGGCACGAAGTAAGGCAGTTTGGCANCTTCCTTTGCTCTTTTATTTTCATTTGTTTTGTTTTGTTTTTTTCTTTTTGTCATTTCGCTTTTTTTAGCCGAGAACTATGATTAGTACGACTATCTAATATACTTATTTTAAGATTTACTGTAGCTCTGCCATTGATTTTCCCATGTGTAATTATGATAATATTTTGTTCTATTTATCTAACTGAGGGAGCCCATTCCTTATAAGCCCGGTGGCTTCTCTTGGGTTTCCTCGCCATGAGAGTTTAAGTAATTAGATTTCATTTGATTTGTATAATTTTTTGGCAAACAAACAATAAACAATAAACAAAGACCTGGGGACAAGGTTGAGTTGTTTTGGGTGTGAACTTGAAACTCGTTTCATTTCACTTGTTTCAGGAGTAAGAACTAGGCGAAAAAACAGCTAAAAACATGGCAAGAAAAGCAAGAAGACAACTCGAAGGGCGACATCTGCTATTTGGAGGATATTTGCGGAGCTGAACAACCCCCAACGTGCACTATCGAAGATAAACTTAACATCAATGGAGGTAAGCGTGTTTTAGTCATGTTTTTTAAACTAGGAATTATTTTGAATAAATAATAAAACAATTATTGAATTCGGCTTTCGTATCATATGAAGAGTTATGGAGATCTCGGAGGGTGTTATCCGCCTCGGCCGTCCTCGATGTCCATAATTCTTCATCACATACTCAGCCTCATTCATTAATTGTTAATTAATTTCTGCTAATAACTTTCTTCTTGAATCGATTACCGCCCCGGACGAATCTTCAATAGTTTCCTTTCATTTTGCAATATTGTACCACATGCAACAACCATACTGCGCTTGGGCTGCCTGTTAGATCAGCTGGCCTTCCCTTTTTTGCGCGCACGCGCCCGCGCGTGTGAGAGTTATGGCGGTGAAGCTGCGAGGGAATTTCAAAACGTCTCATCTTCGTTCCTAAGGTGTGCGGCTTTGCAGCTCCTCTGCCAAAACTCTGTACGCGCTTAATGATCTCGCTGACTACGCACGCTGCAGATTGTGAAGAAACGAAAACAGCTAGCATGTGACAGGTTCATAATTTGTTTTTATTTTTACGTGAGAGATCGAGGAATCTAAAAACAGTCTTAAAAATATAAATCTAGCACGCTATGATCCAGGCCCCTTTTCAAGAACATTCCTGGGTAAAGGGCTCAGTCCTGATTAGATCCTAGGTGCCTTACTGCTAATACGGTTCTTCTTATGCTTCTACTTTTACTTCCTATTCAAACTTTTTAAGATTACTTTCTCGATATGATCATCACTGGTTAACTGTTTATACTCGTTTGGTCTGAAATTGTCTGATTACTGGGAAGCGCCTTCTCCATATTTAATCATCACTAGCTTCAGGTGGCACGTTGTAATACGGACGATCTTCATTGTGTTGGTTTAGATGCAAGTACGGTGCATCCCTCTCCATTATCACCTCCAGTTTTTCGATCAGTTGATAGAAACTGGGACGAGAGCGAGGTTCCTCTTTCCAGCAGTCAGCCATCAGCTCATATCTGTTATGGACAAAAACAAAAACAAAAAAAAAAAAACCATTTGAAGCTAGCCAGAGTTCCACTCCATTATTACATGTATAGACACCGTTTTTTCCGATTTAGTGGAAGAGGTTTCCTTTAGACCAGCTGGGAGCCACTCACGCCGGATCATTAGGCTTGTCGGTTTCTTGCCAAGCCTGCGAGCAAGCTCTCCATTTGGAGGATCTCGTCAAGTACACGCACGTGCGACACGCGAGAGGAAACACGACTGCGAGGGGCCCCCGCTCGCGCGTACTCACGCGGTTCGTTTTCCTCGCCCAAATGGAGGGCTTGCTCGCAGGCTAATTCTTGCTCTGTCGATCTCTGTTAAATAACACTATCATATTACTGTATGAAACAAATATTTAAGGTAAGATTTTGCCGTCTGTCTGTTCAGCAATCACTTTGATCGAAAAAAACGTCAAAATCGAAACCGAATTGTCCTCTGCAACTTTCAAGGCTATTTATAACTAAAAAGACGCACGGAAAAATCGAATCTTTTTGTCAGTTCTAAGACGATTCTGATCAAGAAACGTACACATCATCGGAGCACATGTCAGGCCTTTCCATGCGATAACCATTGCCAAGCAGTCGATACAACTCTGAGTTGGTCAGCGTGGGGTATGGTACGCCTCCTGATCACGTTATGCGAAAGAAAAAATATACATGTTATTATTTGAAAATACGACTCATTCCCTGGATAGCTTTCTACTAGAGATGTCAATGTCGACGACTCTTCATTCCCCCGCACTCAATAATGCCGTTTTGCAATAGAATAGTGATTTAGCAGGGGTCAGAATTGCATTGAAATGTGTCTTCAAAGAAAACGGGGTGCTTAGTAATAAGGCTCCCCTTTCCAGAAAACAACTACTGCGTGCATATTTGATGCCGATTATAAATTATCAGACATACAGCCTAGTTCTAAACAAAAGTGCCTAGCTTGCCACAAATAAAAGTCATCAGGTATCAGCCTGTTTCCTGGTAACAATAACCTTATTTAATAAGGACTCACTCTTTACGTCCCAGTGTCGTCCTTTGATATCAGTCGCACAATTCAAGTCATATACCCCGTGGCAACAGGGAGGAGAGTTCTTGGGATTCCTCTCCCCTTGGAAGTTTAAATGATTAGTGTGTGACGGTCTACTCACCCAGTGTAGCCATCTCCCAAAGAACAACACCAAAAGACCAACTATAAAGAAAAGCACAGAGGTCGTGAATGTACCCACTGCATTAACATTACTTTTCTTCTCTTCTTTTTTCTTGATGAACTTAAGGCAAAAGGGCGTATCTCCACCTTTCCATGCCTTCGCCCTTGACTGAACCCTATGACACCAGGCCTCAGCTGCTCAAAGCCCTTAGCCAATGGCCTAGCAAGGTTAACAGAGTAGGGATCGGAAAAGAATACCAATTTAGGTGACGGGTCTGCCGCATAATCGTAACTAAATGATTTTTTACACACACTCCGAATTAAGAATTCCGCAGACGCCGCTTTCGCTCAGGACTTATATGCAAACTATGTAGTCCCGAGTCGAAATTATATTGACAAGTACGAAATCAGCCACTATAACCACTGAAATTCTAGATCGGTTTGAAATAAACTCACTGATCACGACTTTTAGGGAAGCTGACTGAGGTTTTCTGAGCAGTAATTTATCGAAATGTGTTTAAAAGAGTGGGATTTTTTTATACTTACACATCACTTTTGGTGGTGTAAAGGGCTTGATAAAGTGCTTCGGGGGCCATCCATTTTACAGGAAGTTTTTTGGACTTCGCTGAGCCGCTCACATCTTCATAGATTTGTCTCATCAACCCAAAGTCTGACACTTTGATTTGGTTGTCATGGCCAACAAGAACATTACGGGCAGCAAGNAAGACCAACTATAAAGAAAAGCACAGAGGTCGTGAATGTACCCACTGCATTAACATTACTTTTCTTCTCTTCTTTTTTCTTGATGAACTTAAGGCAAAAGGGCGTATCTCCACCTTTCCATGCCTTCGCCCTTGACTGAACCCTATGACACCAGGCCTCAGCTGCTCAAAGCCCTTAGCCAATGGCCTAGCAAGGTTAACAGAGTAGGGATCGGAAAAGAATACCAATTTAGGTGACGGGTCTGCCGCATAATCGTAACTAAATGATTTTTTACACACACTCCGAATTAAGAATTCCGCAGACGCCGCTTTCTCTCAAGACTTATATGCAAACTATGTAGTCCCGAGTCGAAATTATATTGACAAGTACGAAATCAGCCACTATAACCACTGAAATTCTAGATCGGTTTGAAATAAACTCACTGATCACGACTTTTAGGGAAGCTGACTGAGGTTTTCTGAGCAGTAATTTATCGAAATGTGTTTAAAAGAGTGGGATTTTTTTATACTTACACATCACTTTTGGTGGTGTAAAGGCCTTGATAAAGTGCTTCGGGGGCCATCCATTTTACAGGAAGTTTTTTGGACCTCGCTGAGCCGCTCACATCTTCATAGATTTGTCTCATCAACCCAAAGTCTGACACTTTGATTTGGTTTTCATGGCCAACAAGAACATTACGGGCAGCAAGATCTCTGTGAACAAGATTGTTTTCTGCGAGATGATTCTAATTTTAAGAAGGAAAGAGAAAAAATGAAAATAAGTACCATAAAACTTCAGTTACGGGGCTACTATTGCCTAAAAAGGCATGGGTGAAGGCGTGAAAATTATAGGAGCCAGTAATCAAAAGTAAAATATCACAACTGAACTGATCTAAACGGCTGATTCAAGTTCAGACAAAACATGCCGAATTTGGTTCGATCGACTACGACAATTTCTCCTCTAAAAATCATTAATCATCTAGAATATTAACTTATTTATCCTTTATTTCTTGCTTGTGGAATAGTCTTTGATAACGATCTTTGAAGGATGAAAACAAAACCTGAATGGAAGCAACGTTGCTCAGAAAATAATCATATAGTAATTACCATTCCTTTAGCAATTTGCCAAGCAAATGAAAAGAGTTGTTTGGTTCGAAAGTTCTCCTCCGCGTCTTCTTCATCACTGCTGAGATCCTCGTGTATGCTTTCGATTACAGGTGGCATGGCGGGTGAAGGCTTTGCTTGACTTTTTCCTGTTGCCGCTTGGCTGCTTACTGGCCAGTCTTTTTCCGTTACTTTCCACTCCACATCCTTAGGGAAATTTACAAAAAAATAAATAATGGTCTAGCTTAAAGACTCGAAGAAATCGTACAGATCAACTTAATCGCTAAGACGCAGCTTTTGCGCAACTAAAACTCGGCCAGCCGAGAGGTCTGATCGAGATCATATAGCCGCTTTTTTCAAAGCCTTGAACGCCCTTGTGGACGGCCATTCTTCAGGCGGTGCGGTCTGTGGCGAAGGTTTCCCGTTGAAGAGTGGGATTCGATTCAGTTTTTTGTTTCAGGGCTTCTTTGAAGCTCTTTAGTGGGTGTCCAATGTTACGTGTACCGCTGGCCACCTCAGAGAGGAAGACCATCTTCGGGAGGTACATGTCCAACTCACCTGCCGACCGTATCAAAGGCCTTTGTCAGGTGCACAAAGAGGATGTACAGGCTCTGATTCTGCTCGCGGCATTTTCCTTGATCTTTCCTACGGCGAATATCATGTCGATTGTCCATCTGTTTCTCCTGAAGGCACACTGACTCTCGGACACGAAATCATCCAAGAGGTCTTGTGTGATACAGCTCAGTATGATGAGTGCCATGAGATTTCCTGAAATACTCAAAGGCGAGATGCCTCTGTGGCTGTCACAGGATGCTCTGTCATCTTTGTTCTTGTACAGGTGGATGGCGTTGGTGTCTTTGAGGTCGTTAGGGAGGTATCTCATCAGGAACAGGTGCTTTCTCAGCCTGGAGCTGGTTGTTTTTTTTCTGGGTTTCTTCCGGTGTTGGGGGATCGTCAAAAGAGCTTAGAACCGGGCGCTGAAGTATATCTTGGAGTTTGTTGAGAAGTTGGCTGAAGATTTTTCACCAACTTTGAACGATATCACACTTCGCTGTAAGCAGGGTTCCAGCCGAATATGGGATAGGAGTCATGAAATTGAAAGAGGGGCCATATATACAGTCTTCGTGCCCTCGAAGAACCTCTTAAAGTTGTGCTCGTGTGAGTATTGCTGCAGCTCTNGAGCTTAGAACCGGGCGCTGAAGTATATCTTGGAGTTTGTTGAGAAGTTGGCTGAAGATTTTTCACCAACTTTGAACGATATCACACTTCGCTGTAAGCAGGGTTCCAGCCGAATATGGGATAGGAGTCATGAAATTGAAAGAGGGGCCATATATACAGTCTTCGTGCCCTCGAAGAACCTCTTAAAGTTGTGCTCGTCTGAGTATTGCTGCAGCTCTGCAGCCTTGTGTTACCACCACGTATCCTTCATCTCTCTCAGCTCAGTCTGGACTTTGTTCCTGAGGTGCTTGTTTAATTGAGACGATCGTGCCTGGCAGTCGAGGTCTTTTGCTAAAGCCAATTACTAAATCCTTCCTGCTTTTGCTTCAGAAGGCATGCGTTTTCCTCGTTGTTGTCTTCAAACCAGTCCTGGTGTTTTCGCTCCTTCTGTCCAAGTGTCAATTTGCAAAATCAAATGTTGCATTTCTGACAACCTAATTAAATATGCATAATTTGTAAAATGCTATTTAAACCGGTTTGCTTCAATCAGTGATCCTGAAAAGCGAACTACAACTGTGGCTTGATGAAAAAAAAAACGCGTAAAACGTGATCACAAATAACACGTGACATTGCTTCATCAATGACGTCACAAAACACGTTTTTCTAAACGAGGAAGGTTTGCACAACTTAATCTTGGGAATTTTCACCACCAAAATGTTACACAAACAGTGTAAAACGTAAATTCACCTTTTATGGTTGGAAAAGTTATTTGTCCTATTAGCTATTTAACTAATTAGCAGGTCACGTGACCCTTTTCCCTTTATTTACCGATTCCTGTTTTACGGAAACACACATAAAAGGCGAATTCTTCAGAACCTTTTTAATAGCCTCTGAAACATACCTAAAAGAACTTGTTGCTCTTTCATTATCCTTTCCCCATTTTAGAGTAAATATTTTGACCGTTAATTCTCAATTAGAAGTCACTTGACGAAAATTTGAACTTCTAAAATGTCTCATATTGCTAAGGTCATTAAGCTACATTAGTAATCCAATTTTCAGGATCATTGATAGCAGCGAACCATTCTAAATAGCATTTTATCAAATTATGCATATTTAATTATATAGTCATGCCTTAAGTGGCCTGAGGAGCCAACTGTGAGTACAAGAACTGGTGTCTAACCAAGTGGACGTAATTGATAATTATGAAGTTTCTCTGTATTTAGCTTAAAAGTGGCAGGTTTAGAGCTATCAAACACGTATCCTTGCTTCAGGAGTCTGTTCTCAAAATATCTGGGATGAACTAAACCACGACAGTTAAAGAAAGCCTTTGTGGCTTCACCGGACGAAGTTTACCCAGGAGGCAACGGCCAGTGTCGAGTCTACGACTAAAATAGCATGACGGCTATAGTAACACCTGACCTACAGCGATTATTATGTTGCGTTCTCCTTTAGTCGAAAGTAAAAATTAAAATAGTTGTCTATTTATTTCGGGCGCCGCCCCCCCCCCCTTACCTAAGGGTCTTGTGTAGCAGCCATCAAGTTGTCCTTCCAGTGCAGTAGTCAATGTCAAACTCTCTGACCCGTACGATAGAACAGATTCAACTAAACCTCTAAAGAAACGCAATGATCGTTTAATCTATCCAAGAGCTTAGGTACCTGAAATCGTCCACCCTATAGTCAATTCAAAGCTAGGACAAGTAGTAAGGTCGCCCTGTGTCGAAGGTTGTAGCCTGTTTATTCAGTCTTGCCGGTGTTAATGTGCAGAGCAACTTCTATGGCAGCGGTTTCAACTCCCTCTAGTAGCGGTTGGGCTTTATCGAAGTTATCTGAAATCAATCCGATATCGTCACCAAAGTCAGTGTCAGTGATCATAATTGCGGGAGAGCGACAACTTCTTCTCTCAGTCAGTGTAAATCCAAGGTCTTCGTAGCCTTCAATTGCGGATCTCATTGCGTAGTCTAATGCTATGATGAGCAGGTAGGGAGCTAGCATGTCACCCTGCAGTACTCCAGCGTGGAAAGCAAAGAAATCTGTTTCTCCACCAGGTGAGCAAACTATGGCTTCAGTGTTATGATGCATCGACGCTCTAGCCAAGACTATTTGATTTAGGATGCCGTAAGCCTTCAGAATTTCAAACATTTTGTCTCTGTTCACCGAGTCAAACGCCTTTTTGAAGTCCACAACGGTAAGAACCGCTGTAAGATTCTTGGCCTTTATGCCTTCATTAAATCTCCGAAGAGTAAGTATCTGAGCAACTGCTGATCTTCGTGGTTGGAACCAGTCTTTATTTGTGCGCAGTAGGGGTTCTAAGCGGGGGCGGATCCTGTTAAGAAGCACTCTATTATAGATCTTAGCTGCTGTTGGAATTAGTGCAATACCACGATAGTTCTGAGGTTCACTGGGATCGCCCTTTTTGGGTACGGGGTTTATAATGCTCTTGGACCATAGCTCAGATTTTCCGCTGCCTTCAAGCATCATATTACACACGTCTAGCAACTGGTCATTGAGTAAGCCACTTTTCTATACCTCAGCTGGGAGTTCATCTATGCCAGGTGCCTTATTTTTGGCAAATGTGTTGATGCTGGTATTGAGTTCTTCGAAAGTGAAGGCATTAGTGCTGATCGGAATAGTATCCTGTACAATTTGCTTAGTGGGTTCCTGTCTTCGGCCTCACGTTGACCTAAGAGTTCAGCAGTTTCGCCTTTATAAGACCACCTGTAGCTGACGAGGCCCTTCCCGTTATCTCATTAATAGTATCCCATGTTTTTTTGCCTGATGCTGCACTGCAGCGTTTTCAATCTCAGCGCATTTCTGGGCCAGATATTCCACTTGTTCACTGTCATATGCAGCTTGAAGTTCCTCTTTCGCTTGTTTTAGGTAGTTCGCATTGTCAGAGTTGGGGAGAAGCTTATTTTTCAAATAGGCTTTCTTCAACTCGTTCCTTTTCTCCTTGACAAGTTCTTTCTCCCAGGGCACTCGCTTTTTCACTCGTTTCTTCTTAGGAATACTCTTCTCAGCTGCATCCATTAGGGCCTTGATCATCGTAGTATACAGATCGTTCACAGTGTTTTTCCTCAAGCTGGTGCAGGGCCTCAAAGCGATTCTTAACTTCCACAGTATAAGACTCTCTTACGGAATGGCTGGTGCTAAAACAATGCCAGTCGAAACTGGTACGTTTGGCAGTTGTTGTTTTTTCATTGGCTAGCAAACTGAGGCGTAGTTTAGTTACGACAATTTTATGGTCTGAATATACTGTACTGAGAGGATCATATGCCTGACAGTCTTTGAGACACTGTTCCACTATTTCCTGTTTACCAGTATATAATCAAGTTTGGCTTTGCAACCACTTGGGTACATGAACGTCCACAACTTTTAAAGCTCTTTTGGAAGCGTGTGTTATAAATTATAAGCTCACATGCAGTAGCCATATCCAACATAAACGTCTTTTTTCCAAAGCTTAACCCATAACAGTCTTAGGGACTGATACGTGCATTCAAATATTACCACATATAATCTTAAGGTTATGTCCAGGTAGCTTCTTTATTAATTCAGAGAGTGTGTTGTAGAAGTCTAGAGCATCGCTGTCACCCGAACAGTTTGTTGGATTGAGCAGCATATAATAGTAGTAGCAGGGTTGTCACTTAAGTTTGCCACGATGACTCGGCTATTCACTACCACAATATTGCCCTCGAGGGAGTTGTAAACAGAGGGGCTTAGTAGCATACCCACTCCTCCCACGCAACTGTTCACGGACTTCCTCCAGCACGAGGAAGTGGCCAAGATCCAGCCTTTGCCGACATCAGTATAGTGCACGTCCGCACTATCGTGAAATTTTCGATGTTCCTGCAGACAAACAACAGATATTCCTTTCTCCTCTGTCAACGCGGTAAGCTCTCCAATCATCTCAATGGAGTTGAGTGAACGGATGTTAAAAGTTGAGACCAGAGTGTTTATCTTGCATCTTAAAAGTCTTCCAGTAGCTTACTTATCAACTCCAACATGGTTGCTCACTGGGGGACGCGGCCCTTGTTTATCCCGGCGAGGACCGAGCAAGAATGTAGGGAAGTTTGCAGTGTTAATCAATAATAATAATAATAATTTGAAAATTAAGTACAAATTTAGTATAACTATAGTTAAAAAAAGACTTCTTGGTGGTCTGGTGGTTTTCAATAGAGCAAATGTAAACAAACTGTCTATAAACTAAAAAAAAAGAAAATTTCTATGTTCACCCCAATGATAAATATAATAATTATTAAATTTTACTATTTACAGATTCAAGAATATGAAATATTAAAAAATATACCCTATGTACATTCTTCTTGTGTACGAAAGAGAATTGTCGTAAAATGACTATCTAAAGACTACTAATAACAATTATAATAATAATAATAATAATAATAATAAATAATAATGAATAATAATAATAATAATAAATAATAATAAATAATAAATATCTGGGGGTGTTGGAGGCCGATGACATTATGCATGACGAAGTGAAGAGAAGTATGATTAAGGAGTACATTTGGAGAGTGAAGAAAACTTTGTCCTCAAAGCTAAATGCTGGTAATGTCATAAAGGCTAAAACAGCTGGGTTGTATCTCTACTTCGGTACAGTAGGGGGATTGTAAATTGGAAAAAGAGTGAGCTTGCTGAATTGGATCGTAAGACCAGAAAACTATTAACCATCCATGGCGCACTTCACCCCAGTTCCAATGTAAGCCGCTTGTACCTACCAAGAAGAGAAGGAGGGCGTGCACTAATTAGTGTTCAGGATGCCATTAATATTGAAGAAAGAAATATCAATGTCTACGTCTGCCAGAGCCAGGAACGGTTGTTGAAAGCTGCATGGAAGAGGAAGAATGTCAATGAAATCGAAACGCCAAAGGAATATAAGGAAAAAAATGAAAAGGAAAAGAACTGAGGACTGGTCTGGAAAGCAGCTGCATGGGCAGTTCAAGAGAGAGACAGGTGACCTATCTGGTGTGTCTTGGGAGTGGATAAGAACTGGTGAACTAAAGAAGGAGACAGAAGGGCTTATTTTTGCCGCGCAAGATCAGGCACTAAGAACAAACGCCGTAAAAGCCAGAATCGAAAACCAAAATGTATCATCCAAATGTAGGAATGTGTGGTAGCCACGATGAAACTGTGCAGCATATTTTGTGTAGTTGCCCCAAGCTTGCGCAGACAGAATATAAAAAGAGGCATGATGTTGTTGGGCGGGTCATTCATTGGGAGTTGTGCAAGGAATATGGAGCTGAATGCAGTGACAAATGGTATGAGCATTCCCCAAAAAGCGTAGAAGAGAATGAGTAGGTTAAACTGTTGTGGGACTTTACCATCCAAACAGACCGTGAAATCCATCACAGGAGGCCAGACATTGTAATTCAGAAAAAGAAGGCAAAGGAAACAATCATTGTGGACATAGCTGTTCCCGGAGATAGTAATATTCTGCAGAAACAAACTGAAAAGTGTGAAAAGTACCAAGACCTGGCAAGAGAGATTCAAAGGATCTGGAAATCAAGGACAAAAGTGGTGCCAGTGGTTGTAGGTGCATTGTTCAGTGTCAAAAAAGCTGGCAGGCCACTTGGAGCAACTAGGAATTAAAAACCGAACAAGAACGATGCAAAAGTCGGCACTCCTCGGATCGGTACATATCCTCAGAAAGGTGCTGGAAGTCTGAGGTCTCGGGATGAGACTTGACTGGATATTTCTCCCCAGGCAAAATCCCTGTGCTAAATTTTACATAATAATAATAACAATAATGATAAATGTACTTATTGCTCATTAGATAAAAATACATATCCAATGTTACAGGATAAAAAGATTAAAAGTTCATCTAAATTACAATAGAATAAAAAGATTTAAAAAAATGCAAAAAGCTAGTTACACATATATGACATAAACTATCATAAAAGGTTGTATTCAAACATTAATCTATTTACAAATGTGTTCTTATAACGCTCGGTGTTTATCTAAGGCCTTTGGAAGCTTTTACGTCGAAGATTGTAGGTTAGATTGTTCTTTTCTTACGGTAAACACACCTTCAGAGGGTGGTTATCATGCTGATTAGCTTTTTGAAAAATCGCTTTATCTTGTTTTTGTAGTAATGATCTAATACTTAACTGTGTAGATATAAAGCTTAAATTATAGCATCTGTCTAAAAATTGCTGACGGACATCGGAGGCACCATAAACAGATAGTCCGTAGGTTATATTAGGGAGCACAATACTATAGAAGAGATAATCAATTTCTGTCCAAAGCAATGTTTTGCAGGGCTCACTGAGACAAATCCCAGCAAGCGATGCTGGAGGAGCGCCAGACCTTCCAGCGCTGGGCTTGTTTTCTGTAGGGGTTGTCTCCCTTAGCCTGTGGCAAAAAAACCCCTGTCTGCCAGGCAACAGTTTCGTGACTTTGACAGGCCGAACGATGTTACGCCTTGCCCAATGGCTACCCGGAACTATGCATTGCAGGGTGGGGAGGTTCATGACTCTGACGCACCAAATGCACCAAGTACACCAAGTACCCGCATACCGATACCCGCATTACTTGTAGTGGTAAATAATTATAAAACTTCTTACTTGATTTGTAGCGGAAGTTGAGGGAATCACTTCAAGAACGGCATCTTTGTCGCATTGCTCTGCAATGTTCACTTGCTCCTTGTGTTCAGAATGTTCATCGTCCATAGCCTCATTATTAAAGGCGAATCTTTGCTAAATGATTTTTAAATACGGCGATTAATTTATATGTAAGAAAATTGTAACATTACATTGTTAGAAGCTACTGTCTGTAATCAAAAATTAAAATATCACACAAGTTTAGGCAGAGTAATGCCTTTTTCTTATTATTGTTTTATTTGCTAGTTCCCTCAGCTTAAAATTCAATTTAAATCATGCTATAAAGTCTTATGTACTAATAATTATCTTCCGTGAGTTTCGGGGTACTTGTGCTAAAACTATGTAATTCGACTAACAGAAGACAGAAAGGAGATGAATTTGTTCATTTAAAGTTCCATTGAAATAAGATGGAAAATTTATAAACCACGATATTTAATTCAATAACAATAGTCTTTTGTTACGTGATATCTCTTCAGTCACTGAAACGTCACCTTTCGCTTCGCCCAATGCTCTTAGGAATGAAATATATCATGTTACACCCTTCGTATCGCGAGACAAGGCATCTTCGGAGAGCCAGAGGCAGTCAGTCGGGTCGGGAGAAAAGGCACGGCAAAAGATAGTTTTCAAGCAAGGGCGGAAGAGCCCCTGGGTGCCGACCCTTACTGAACTATTTCCAAACGGTCAAGCTGACTGTGTGCAAAGAATGCTTTGTATTATTGTGCCCAATCGATAAACACAATCCCCTGAGTTCTTTTGGTGTGTTCGGACACGACAGCTATCGTCTCACCATTATGATACTTGTTTGGCTCTTACACCAAAGAAATGCACGCCGTCAGGAAAGTTTCAGTTCGATATAAAGCCCGTCAATGAATTCAAAGAAATTGCAACTGTCTACCCGAAAACTAAATTTGGAAACGTATGAAAGGGTATTTAAAAGATGCTTATCCTAAAACAATAAACTTGAGCTTACAACACGTATTCAAGATTGCATCGATCCTTATCGGTCACGCCATCGTAAATATCATTTACGATATCTTGTGCAGCGTGCAAAGAAAGTCGTGTCCGATTTCCCGGGGCTAGTGGATTTTGCTATCGGGCTAGTGATTTTTCCCGACGGGCAAGTGCTGTTTTTTGGGGAAATTCAAATTACAGAAGGATGGTAATCAGTCTTGCTAATCAAAAAGGGTTTGGGAGCTAGTTGAAATGACTTGTGGGCTAGTACATGCTAGCTACAGCTTGCCCGAATGGCAGGCTATAAAACGGACCTTCTTTGCACCCTGCTTGTGACAGAATGGTCTAGGAGCAAATTGGAACGGTCCTGCTGATAGCATCTGAAACGTCTTCCCAAATCATAAGTAGTTCGTACGTTTCTGGTAGAGGCAAAGTGGGAAAAGCCAAGATTCCCCTTGCGCGCCCAACCTTGGTGAAAGTATGGCGAGATAATAGCCGTCGTGTACGAATGCACGAAAAGAAAATAGGAGCCCCTGTTCGCCCATTGGGCAAAATAATATAAAGCATTTTTTTGTGTCCAATCGGGAGTCAGCACTCGCTGGATTGTTTGAAAACGGTCTGGTGAGAGTCGGTACCTAGGGGCTCAAACGTTTTCTCCCAAACCACCTCACTGCCCCTCGCCTAGGCCTCCAAGGGTGGAGACAAGGCCGCTTGTGGCTTGAGTGTGTTTATTAAAATTCTTACATTAGGGAGACTGTGAGTGGCTGACGCCATGTCCTTTGGGTCGCCACTCTGGCGCAATGAGATCATTTCCATGGTGACCTGAGCCTGCTCTTCCTCTGCCGTTTTCTTCAAAAGTTTGCCTGCTTGTTTTTCCTAGGATGAAGGAAAGACCGATCAATCCACCCTATAAGAGTGTTCCACCTTCCCTCTTATGCCACCCCATAAAAAAGACATCAAAAACTTTTATCAGAGGGCATTAAACATAACAACTTTTGGTGATTTCTACAAGCATGAAAACAATTTCAGCGTCTTAATATATAGTCTTAAGACGCTTTCCATTGGTCAGAACTGACCGGCCAGACCATTCCAGTCATAATGAGAATTTCACTTTTAATCCAAACTATCAGTTAGATCCCAAATAGCAAGCACAAAGGAAATGGTGTTTCAACAAAAGCTCTTGGAAAAAGGCATTTCTCATTGTCAAAATTACTGTTGCCTGCTATGTTCTGGCCGGCCAGTTCTGACTTTTGGTAGGCGCCCTTAATTAAGTCTTTGATTACGTTCAATGAGACACAATCAGACACAGGGAACAAGCAACAAACGGTTTGGGGACTTTGAAGAAAAGAAAAAATATCAGGGTCAAACAAAAATGGATAAAATATTGAATCACTACATTTTGTTAACAAGCCTACCTTATCTCTGGTCTCTTCCTGATCTTTCAGAACCTCTTTGTCAGCATATGATCTCTCGGAGGATTTAAGTTCGTTGATCTAGACTTCCAGGAAGCAACGTTATCAGTTTTGGAACAAGTAAAGACCAATACATCTGTGTGACTTTGCTTAAAGGTGCCTGCAAAGTTTTCGCTTGAACACGGGCATCAAGCCAGGGAAGCCAAAAAAATCCAGAGAGCTTATCAGAGAGCTTACGCCCGGACCTAGAAGAGGGTGGGTGGCTGGCTTTTTTGTTTCAAAAGTAGGGGGTAGGTTGGGGAGATTTTGTCACTTTGATAGGTTTTCAAGCGAGAATGCAGTTCAAAGTCAAGTTAAACAAAGTTTAACAAAACAAGTTTTAAAAAAGTTTTAAAAAAATCCTTATGATTTTAATAACAAGGACTTTATCGGGTATGAAATTGGCATCTTCGCAGATGTAAATCTGCAATAGTCCCAATACATGATAGGGCTCGTAGCTATACAGTCATAAAAATGGTGGTCTACCCTTTCAGAACACGAGAACACGCTGCAATGATTGTCTTACCTTTTTTCTTCTGCGGCGTAGCCACGTCAAAAGGTCACCACACGGAACGTATTCTATGACCAGGAACATTTTCTCTTCAAGCGTGCAGCATCCAACCATGGATACAACGTTCTTATGTGAGCCTAACAGTTTCATTTGTTCAATCTCAAACGTGAACTCTTCTATCTGTGCCTCAGATGGATCATCTAAAGACAATTTGATAAAATGATTATGTCTTCTTCATTCTTCCTGTGACAGCATATTATTTCAGTGCTAGATTTTTCATTTGCATGACAAATATTCATCCCTTTTTATCGCACGCATCCTCCTATGTACAAAAGGACAGGTAGATTCTACCTTCTAAGTGCATTTCAGTTTAATAGTCACTTTACCACCCCATCTTCTTAGTTAGCAGCCTTGGAGGGGATGCGCTATCTGAACAGTCAGGGTGGGTGAGGCATGCTACCTTGAACTCCTACCCTATTTACCCTCAGGCCTTAGCCGTTGTTTTCGAAGGAGAACATTGGTGAAAGGAATAATCGACAACAACAATAATACTAACAGGAACCAAAGCAAACGAAATAAAAAAAATGGATTTTTTCGACTGATTTTCAATTAGGGTGTCAGCAAGGTCCAAACAAGAAATAAAAAAGAATTAGTTTCTGTTGCATATAAACAACTGGAAATAAGTTACAAATTCAATTAGCGCTTACGGCTTTGTCTCTTGTTTTGTAGATTAAAATATTTCTTACCATGTAAAACTTTGACAGCCACCTCCTGTGGTGCCTTCGGCTTCGTGGATGATGAAGGCCATTTGGAAGTCTCAGTGACCAACGCCTCCATCTCATCCCTCTTTCTAAAAGTTGCTTTGTAAACAACACCAAACTCTCCTCTCCCTAGCTCTTCCTCAAATTCTATTTGCTCAGGCAGCATTTCCCACTTATCAGAGAGTTGTGAATCAGGTGATCTGGAGAAAAAGGACATAATTATAGCTGGATTAAGGTTGCTAATAATTAAAAAGCGCTCGTGAGTAATCGTAATGATAGCGGTGACTGTTATCAGTTTGAGCACCATATTTTCAACCTGAAAAACATACCAGCGCTAAAACGTTTGGCTTGTACACGACTATTTGTGCAGACGTGGACGTATAGAGAAACCAAATGAACAACGCATCAAACAACGCCGTTCTGGAATAAATTCGAGGCCGAAATCGATAAAACGGAATTAGCGTCTGTAACAAAATTTGCCTACTTGCAAGAGCTATTGGAGCCTAAATCCAGGGTAGACACCGATGGATTGCCTCTTAAGACAGAGGGATATGAAAAAGCAAAAAACATAATCAAAGACGAATATGGAAAAAACGAGCGACGTTGTCAACGCCTATGTCAATAACGTTCTTCAACTCCCCACCGTGACATGCGCCGACCAAAACAAAGTGAATTCTTTTTACAAAACACTGCTGTTTAACGTCCAGTCACTGGAAACGCTTGGAAAAATTGATAGAGTAAATGGAATAACAATAAGCGTGCTAGATAAATTGACAGGAATCAAAGCCGATTTGGTCAGGGGACAAGAAAACTGGCAAGACTGGGATTTACCCCGTTTGGCCCAAGCTCTGAAGAAATGGAGAGACGTAAACCCAGCGACTGAAGGAAATAACTTCGAAAGCATGACTACTCCGTCTAAGCGCCCTGAGAACAAATCTCGTTTTTTCGACGCAGAATCCATGGACAAGCGTTTACAAATGTTTACTGTGATGACGCGAGTAACATCTCGCGCGATTGCACACACGTATCCACGATAGACGAGAGGAAAAGGATGATAGCGCAGAAGCGGATGTGCTTTGCACTGGGCCAAGACTTCATGCAGCTGAGTGCATGAGTAGAATACATCGTCAGAAGTGCAGACAGGAACACCATACATCGATTTGCAATCAGGGAGACCAATTGTTGACAGCCACCGGGAACCAAGGGCGTGTTGTTTATCCTGTGGTGAAAGTAAGCGTGGAGGGAGTACTGTAACGTGCACTTCTGGATACAAGAGCTAAGAGTTCGTATGCTTTAGCTGCGCTTTTGGAGAAACTTCTCAAGCGATCTCGGGCTAAAGAAGTTCATCGAATAGAAATGATGCTGGGATCGACCACACGTGAAGTCGAACTTCCACAATCGAAGTACGTTCAACTGATGGCAGTGATGAATTAAACGTTGACGTTACCAAGGTCGAAAGACGGGAGTTGCTGATGATTAATAACCCACACTATCAAAAGATTATCGAGTCGTACGTTCATCTAAAGGGAGTTGAGACGACGGACTGTGATTCTAAGCCATATCTCCCAATACACCTGATATTAGGGGCCAGCGAGTATACAGGGATCAAGACGTCCGAGCTCCGCCGCGTTGGGCTCCTAGGGGAACCAGTAGCAGAAAAGACCAAGCTGGGGTGGACTATTATGTCACCGGGAACACGAATATGCTGCGGACACAAACGAGTCATGTGGATTATGCAGAACTTTGTCGGCTAGACGTCTTAGGTTTTAGAAGATACCCCAGAACATGACCAGCGCACAGTCTACGCAGAGTTCTGAGAACAGTTGGCACGACACCCAGAACGCTGGTATGAAACCTTGCTACATAATAACAATAAAGCAGTGAGTTTACAAAGGCTTAGCAACCTCCAGAACAGACGTCAGCGCTTGGATGTGACCGAGAGTTATGGGGAGATAATTGAAAAAAACAGAAGTCCTTGGGAATAGTAGAAGTCGCAAGCGATTCATCGCAGGGAAAAGAATTCTACATACCTCACAAGCCGGTGATCCGTTTTGCCGGATTGGCATATGCACTATTGGCAATTACCTTGATTAAAGATGAAAGATTAAAGTAGCTGAAACTACGACGGTAAGGATCGTTTATGACGCCTCGTCTCGATCGAACCCTCATGTGCCAAGCTTAAATGTTTCTCTGCATGCCGGACCACGGCTTCAGAATCACCTGTGGAGTATTTTTAGTACGCATGCGCTTTCATCCAGTCCTTATCACTGAGGACCTACAACAGGCCTTTCGTCAGGTGCTCATAAAGAAGGAAGAGAGAGATGCACTTAGATTTTATTGGAAGACAAGCGAACATTCTGAGGTGGAGGTGTTGAGATTCGCGCGAGCTCTGTTCGGTCTTATGGCTTCTTCCTTTCTTCTTGGGGGAGTGATAGAGTGCCATCTTGAAACCTGGGAGTCTTGTATGCCATACCTTGTTGCTGAGCTGCGCAAAAGTATGTATGTCGACGATCTGATCAACGGGAAACCAACAGTACCAGAGGCGAAAAAGATGAAAGAGGGAGCCATAAGAATCTTTGAAGATGCTAAGTTCACGCTGCACAAGTGGCACTCGAATGTTGCCTAGTTAGAAGAGAGTGTAAGAGGGGTTGAAGACGAGCGCATGTTTGCTAAACAGCAGCTCGGTCAAACAAAAGCAAAGACTGGCAGTTTTATTGGACTCTAGTGAGACAAACAAGAAGATCAGATAAGTGTTACCATGCCTCAATATGATGCAGTCGGGTCAAAAATAACATTGCTAATCTGATCCCTTTGGTCTCGTGGCGCCGGTAACTATCAGGGGAAATTTCATCTACAGAGATGTTTGCAACGTGAAGGTGGCCTTGGAAGCACCGCTATCCCCTCTACTAGCAAGCCAATGGACACGATGGAAGAAAGAGTTACCAGCCGAGGTCATGGTAACAAGGGCTCTGACGTGTGCCCAAGAGCACATTGAAAGAATTGAGCTCCATGCCTTTGGAAGTACGAGTAAGAAGGGAGTGTGTGCAACAGTGCATGCAGTTGTGAGACAGCCATCAGGGGTGAGCCAGGGTTTGGTTACTGCAAAGGCTCGACTAGCGAAGCAGGGGCTGACCATTCCGCTATTTGAGCTGGTGTTGGCACATATGGCAACGAACCTTATCACAAACGTAGAGAAGGCGCTTGAAGAGTTTCCTGTTAACGTCGTTATGGATGGCTGGATAGCTCAGTGGCTCTCCATTGAATAAACGGTGGCGGCGAGTACAAACAGTTCGTAGCAAACAGAGCGATGAAAATACAAGAGCATTCAAGGATCGCTTGGCGCCACGTCCCGCCAAGGAAAATCCGGCAGATCTGGGAAGTCGAGGAGGGCAAGTAGATGACAGCAAGCTGTGGTGGCAAGGACCAGAATGGCTTTCAGAAAAAGAAAAGTGGCCTAGAGACATCGTGACAAGCCGCACTCCTGAGAGCCAAGCAGAGGCTAAAATTACCAAAGAACTTTTTAATGGCGCCACTGCGTCAACTGGGTGCCTCAAAGTTCTGCTAGGGAAATTTGACCTGACCAAGACATTGAGTATTGTCGCCTGGACCGCGAGATTCATACGGAATTCACGCCTGAAGAAACAAGAAAGAATGATGGGTCCATTGACGACCGACGAGATTGAAAACCAGCACCTGTTTTGGACCAAGCGCCCTCAAGAGATTCAAAGCGACGATGTGACAGACGATCGACAAAGACTGTGTTTAAAAGAAAACGACCAACCTTTACAGGTACAGGTACATTACTCGGTATAACTGGCTGATAAACACCCCTACACAGTGAAACCCGTTGAAGACGCCCATCGCCGTCCGTAGCATGGGGGAGTCGGTTTAACAATGGCGCGGATCAGAGAGCGTCACTGGGTGCCGAGGCTCAGACGTCTGACCAAGAGAGTGATAAAACAGTGCTATGGTTGTCACCGTTTCCAAGTCAGAGCTGCTGCTAAAATACCTCTAGCCCTTAGAACTATCGTGAGACCGGACACCTTTGACAACTCAGGAACAGCTAAACCCGGAGGTTCGAGAGTTCAGACCTACCCGTGACGCTAAAATGGCAGCGAGAGTACGAATGCAAGACATTGCTGACAAAGAGCAAGCCAACTGAACATTGAACACCGACTCTGTAGAGAGTTTGAGAATCATTTCGTTTTTTGTTATCGTTTTGAGTTACAAGAACGTTTAGTATGATATGGTTTCTAGAGATAAATGCAACATATGTCACCTAAAGGTAGACATATGGGGGAGAGTGTCGGAAATAATAACCAATCTCCTTTGTAAACATGATTTAAGTTTCGTTTGATTTTAGTCACGTGATTTAAAAGAGGTATTAAGTGATAGATTACACTTGAGAACCTGATAGCCCTGAACTTTGGAATTGAAAGTGAAGCTGAAAACCTCGTGATTGATAGTAAAATAGTAGAACAATAGGAGATAGCAAAAGAGAATTATTTTGTGATGAGAGTGTGTTGTACTGTGAGGAAAGGAATAAAAACCTTCTGTGAGTGTGTTAGATAGCAACTATTTTGGAGGCAATTCCCAACAGGGTTGGTGACAGTTAAAAGACATTTAAGACCAAGTTTTATTTCAACAGATCCGGACATATGAACGGACAAAAACTTGCACAACGCTGCATTTCGTTTACACGGAACCCGCGAACAGGGCATGTTTTTGAATGGCAAATCATACTGAAATTTGATACAGAATTTTCATGGTTCCACAGTGTAAAAGGGTTGCACGGGAAAAGCCTGAATCATTCGTTGAAATATTTGTCCGGTCCGGTGTAAACGGAATCTAAGAGAAATTTTTCATTTTAATGCACGGGTAATTTCATTGATGAATGAAGCTTCATCCGACTCAACCAGCCCTTGCCCTTTTGGGTACTGCTGAACACATTTGCTTCCCTAGCCCATTTTTAAGTGAGAAAACGTCACAACGAAAATTTTCCATACCCGATTAGAGGTCAAACGCCGCTTCTCGAAACCGGCCTTTGCCTTCCAAAAGTGCAACCTCACCGACTGGGCATAGTTTGATATCGTGTTGATATGAGAGATAACACTTGGTCCGAGATAGGCTCAACAGCTGTTGTCTGTCAAAGTAAACAGCTGACAGAAAGAGGCATTTCAGAAAAAAGCTGTCAACCAAGGACTTTAGCCGTTAGCCTTCAACCTATCGTTTTCGGTAATTCACCCAGACTACTAAACGTTGAGTTTGTTTGTGCTGAATGTTTGTGCTCAAGCTCTTGGGCGTTGAGTCTAGGTTGCATTCTCTCGACGTCGAACGCAATAACATCTTTTCATCAGTCAAGTCAATTTTCAATTTAATTTCTAAGATATTCTTCTTCAGTATCTCTTCTCTCTCACTGTCTTTTTTAGGTTTTCAGCCCCTTGGCTAAAACAAAATGCTTGATTATTTTCTTTGTAACTTTCAATGGCGGTGCACGACGCTATAAGTGGCCACGGGATGTAATATAACCAATAACATCGCCCTAAAATTAAACTTTAGGAAAGTAAAATTTTGCTTATAAGTGTTTTCGATACACCTTCAACTAGAGAAAAAATTACGCCGAACAATGTGGCTAGCAAATTAAAAGATACACAAACCTTTCAATAGTCTTCAGCTTCTTTCTTCTGTAGCACCAGACAACAATAGCCACGGACAGTAGCAAAAAAGCGGAGGTGGTACCAAGTGAGATGTAAATGACTTTAGAAATAGCGCGGATCGGATTTTCGGGTTCAGATATCGTGGTGTTCTCAACTGCAAGGAAAGATATTGTATTATAAAAGGAATTGGAAACGTGCGAGTATGCGTTGAATAAAACAGGTGCATTATCTTGTGAAAACTTACAAAAAGGTTCTTAAAATCTACTTCGCTGCTAAGCATGGCTATTCCTCCTTCATGGATCCTCGTTAAAATAAACTAAGTTTTCTCTGTTTCTGAGGAACATGGCACAGCGGACCTAAAGTAACAATTTTTAGCTATTTTGTGTCCATTATACTTGAGCTTACTTACCACTATTACACAGTTCTCCTTCACAACAGTGCAAATGATGATCATCAAATTGTCTGCATTGATCAGCGGATATACAGCCTTGAATGGTGACTTGTTCGCCGTTTGCCGTTGTATTGTCATATTTGAAACAAAGGTTTTCTGGAAAAGTACAGCTGACTTTAATGGGAGAAGAGAAATTCCTGCTAGGGTACTCATAACAACCTAAAGATAAATGCAGAAAAATGGAAGCCTTTAAAACCATCGAGTATCTCTGACAAGGTCACTTACCTCAAAGTCTGGGGCAAAAGCGTGAAATTATAACTAATAGACAAGCCTAAAAGCGGAGCTTTTACTAAATTGGAAGTCATTCACGAAAATTTGATAGACTTTAACCTGAAAATACAAAACAAAAGCTTCATAGGAAAAACATAATGCACATTTCGCCCAATTTTAGAGAAAAAGTAATAATTTTCATACAATGTCTTATGTGGTTGTTGCTGTATGAATGAATAATTAGCTAAGTAAAATAAGGTTGTTCAGGGTTCTCGTATTGAGCTTGGGTTATTGCGATAATGTGCTAAGTGTAACCTTCTCGATGTGGATGATAGAAAACGTACTTGTTGTTGACGCTGGCATTTCACAAATATAGTTCTTTTTCTCGTTACAGTCCTCCGCCTTTCCTATCGTTCAAGTGTTTCTCTCCATTTGCAAACAATTCGAATCACTTTTTCGGCCAATCCATACGTGCTGTATAAAGGAATTACAACGGATAAAGAAAAAATTTTAAATGGAACAATTTACTACAAAAACCACAATTAATTAAGGTGGCTGAAAACAGTTTGATAATGGGAGTGTCATTCAAGACTCGTTGAGGCTCATATTTGGTATGGACAGAATACATTTATACTAAGGACAATAAATCTGACATTTCAGAAGTAAGATTTCGATCGTCACCATGGCGGCAAGGATGTTTTGAAAAAAGCCTTTTTTTTTCAATTTGTTAAACCTGGTTTTCACTAGCGCATTAACGTAAGCATAAGGACATACGTACGCACAGAATGGCATATTTGACTCAATTCTCGATACCAGCTCTCCTCAACCCAATGATAAACAAGATGGCGGACGAAGCGTCCGCCATATTGCTTTTGATATGTTCGCATGACGTCTGCGTCAAAGTGGCCTACGATTGGTCCACGGCCTTGTGCCTATACATGTGCTTGTGTCGACCCAGTTTTCACTTGCCAAAGCTACGACATGGGCATAAGCACAAGAAGAACGAACTTGTCCGTTTTTCTTTTGCTTATGCTCATGCTTTATGTCGACCCAGTTTTCACTTGCTTACACATGTGCTTGTGCCTACGCTTATGCTTATGCGCTAGTGAAAACCAGGCTTAACCTCATGATAACTTCTCGGCCAAGAATTTTCTTAAACCTGGTTTTCACTAGCACATAAGCATAAGCACAAGCACGGGTGTAAGCCAGTGAATACTGGGTCGACATAAGCATAAGCATAAGCACAAGAAAAACAGACAAGTTCGTTGTCCTTGTGCTTATGCTTATGTCGTAGCTTTGACTGTTTAAAACTGGGTTGACATAAGCACATGCATAAGTACAAGGCCGTGAACCAATCAAAGGTCACTTTGACCCAGACCTCATGCAAACATAATCAAAGCAATATGGCGGACTAAGAGTCCACCGTCTTGTTTATCATCGGGTTGAGGAGAGCTGGTATTGAGAATTGACTCAAATATGCCATTCTGTGCGTGAGTATGTCCTTATGCTTGTGCTAATGCGCTAGTGAAAACCTGGGTTTTAACTTCTCAGCCAAGACTTTTCCAAGAATGATATTAAAGGTGATGTTGCTGCGGGAGTTGTCCGCCTGATGTAACTAACACCACTGCCTATATGACAGTATGCAGTTAATTATGATCAAATTAAGTTAATAATTTTTGTCAAGAAGGGCATATATCATTATTCAATCAAGATAGTATTTTAGATCAAGACGTCTCAGCTGATGAGAGGCGGAACAACTGGTCTTCTATCAAATTCACCAGAATTGCTTGGAAAGTATGTATGTATGAACGATAAACTTGCATTTTATAATAATTCAGTTTGTGCGCTCAGCTTGCCAAAGTAACCTGAGATCAGGCTCAATTTTTGTTTTGGCTTTGTAAATAACATTCCGGCGGGCAAGGCGAAACGAAAAGAGAGCCTGATACAAACCTTATACGAAACGTCTGCCGCCCACTTTTTTTGATTGATTGACATTTGCCGAATTAGCCAACCAAAATTGCTTCAGTTCCTTGTTTTTTTAATATGCACATTTTCCATACGTGGGAAAAATGCAGACTCGCTGACTTAAAAAATAGCTTTTACCTTTTAATATTTTCAACTTAGAATAAAACAGTCAGCACAGTCACATTTAACTTCTTGCGAGATTAAAGGAGATTTCGACGGTTATTTCTATTGGCGTAGAAGGTAAAAAGTTTTCGAAAAGACGGCGACACCAGATGTTCTAGTTTTAATGTTTTGGCTAGGCGCGCTCGAATTTAAATACTGAAATTTCTCTTTTCCTGTTGCCTTTATATTTTCCTTGGCAATTTTCCCCGATTTTCAGTACATAAATCTTTAAAAATCGTGGAGAAATATATCGCGAACTTTTAAAAAAAGGATATATAAATTATCTGAGAACAAAGCAACGAGTTCTCAAGTGCATTTAATTTAGCTGATTTAGTCCCGTGAGTACACTTGCAATTTGCGAATTTACTAGAGAAACAAACGTCTAAAAAAAGATATTTCTTTATAAATCCATGTAAACATTATCACTTTGGAAAGCTATAAGCAAAACGAAAAACAATATTACAAACACACTTTGTAGTTCTCCTTTAATTAGTTGTGTTCATATTTTTATTGCAGGTCTGAAAAGCTCGCTAAATTTTATTTTGTATCGAAATTAACAAACAGCAAACAGCCAACGAGCGAGGACACCAGTTTCCGTGGTTTACTTTTTACAAAAAAGCGAAGGCAAACAACAAGTCTGTTACCTTAAGAGTAACGCCACTAGCTCTTATGATAATGCCAACAAAAATTCCCTGAACAGCGATCATGCGATGTTTTTCGTCTAATACTTCACAGTTGGCGATTGAGGTTTCTTTGGCAATGAGCCTCCGTTTGCGTACCCCGCTCAGAAAAGTCATTCCCGACTAGACTTTCAAATAAAACCACTTTTAAGATGGACAGTATTTTGATCGGCACACGTTTGTTGGTAAATCAAAAAGCACCTTGTTAGCGGTCAACTCTGAACTTGCAGAGGGATTCAACTCCGCGATACACTCACATTAGTTCCGCAAATAAAGCAAATCCAGAGAAGATATGAACAACCACATGAATTTTCTGAATTTCCATGGAACATATTAAGGCATATTTTCCTACCATAAGACCATCAAACAAAAAAGACAGCAAAATCGACCTTTCTCTCCGCCGACGGCGGATCATTCACGAAAACAACCACGAGAGGAATAAGCGCTTTCAACTTCCGGTGTTTCCGACAGCTAATCAGATCTTGTGGCATTGTTCTACAAACGTGAGAGAGTTTGTATAAGGCCCAATTTTAGCCGTGGCCGTTAGAGAGAATGTATGAGAATGGCAAAAATTGGGCCTGATCTCAGGTTATGCCAAAGTAACTGAGCATGAGAAACGTCAGGTCTTTTGAACATTTGCGTTTTTCAAGATACAGATACAGATGAAAATGGAATTAAAACTGTCTACGATTTACATCACTGATTCAATTGGGTCTGTGAAACGAACATGTGATTTCTCCGCATTCCTCTTTGAAAACTCTTCTTATAATTAATTACCCTAGCCTTAAGCGTGCTCTATCAACCGCATGAAAAACCTAACGTCTCAAGTTAAATGCCCGTTTCCTGTCCTTACACGTTTCCTACAGATGTGGTGGGAAGAGTAATTGTATTAAGAATTAGTTACATTGACCTTGGGTGATCATGTCCTTATACAATTAATTCTTGTGGCTACTATGTTTTATAATGCGTTAATATTACATGGAGAAATTTCATGCTGATCATGCTATCATGAGGCTCAAAAAAGAGTTAATGATTTGGTACTTACATCTATTTTCGGTTTCTTCAGACCGGTCACATTCATGAAATGAATCAAAAATCGTTTTTGATTATCATCATCACCCTTCACTAAATCACCTCCGGAAGCAGTACAGACTTGTTGTGCACGTTGCCAGGTATCTTTATTATTTTCCTTGTAGCAAGATACTCCATTGAGAAACCAATCAGCAGAACAGGCCAATGGACCTCACAAGTGAAACATTTACAGAGCAAATAGTTTGAACCCAATAAGAATCATGGCATTGCTGTAAACGTTAGAGAGACTGGGACGAGAATCAGAGAACAAGGAGTAAAATATTCTAAAATGTCCCGACAATCAATCAGTTGTTATATTTCATCTATTTTTTTTAAATAGAATATAAGAAAAATTAGGATCTTTAATATGTGTTTAGTCCGGTGGTAATTATAAAATGTGACCAAAACTGGATTGTAACCACACAAAAGGTCCTTAAACCCAGGCACGGTTATAATTAAGGTTAAAATGAGTGAGAAACAAAACGAGAAAACAAATGGAAAAAGCCAAATATCAGGGTGGAATCTAGCCCGCCTAAAATTTTAAAGGCGTAAAGGCTATCTAAAGTCCGTTTAAGAGTTTAAGCGCGTTAATGGATCAAATTTTACCTGTGCTTTGGTCGTACCTGGTACGATTGGAACTTCCCCATCATTTTCAATGTCGAGTTCCCAGGGGAACAACTCACCTTTCGGTCTCTTGCAGAGGAGATGTTTATTTTCCTTGCAACATTCGGTGAGGTTCCAGCCATTTTTCAAGATTTCGACGCATTTATTTTCATAAACAATTCTCGACATGTTGAGCCGCTGGACAGAAACAGAAATGTTAAACGATTCTCCATTGTTCCATACATATCCACCCTTTTGATGCCGATACGTCAACCCAATCCAAACAGAAGTGCGATTTGCGTCCTTGAAAGCCATGTCATGGACAAACTTCATTTCCTTTTCATTCGAAATGCTTACCAGGTCCCCTCCAAACCCAAAACATCCGCTTAAGGCTGTTGACCAAGCAAATCTCCGCCGATAACCGAGCCTATCCATAACCTTGTAGCAAAAGCCTTCAAATTCTTTCCA